ATTTAATTCATTCAATATAATTAATGATTCATAAATAAAACCTAAAAAAGTGTAGGTTGAATAAATTAAAGATTTATAGTAAATTTATTTATTTTTTCTATCACCCAATCAAATTTCAACACTACTATACGTACTATACGCACTATACGTATAGTGTTCAACTATACGCCATTTGCCTATCTAGTAATTCCAGTTTCTTTTGAATACACATTGGGACATGGCCTGGACAAAGTTTACAAATCCATTTGTCAATCAACTTCGATAAATTTCCAAATAGAATCAATTTTTCGTCGTTTAGCGAGTGATTTATCATTTAAGATATCATATACGATGATGACATCGTTTCATTCGAATCATCAAATGGTTCAAGCGTACCTTGCGACATATTTTCATTTAGCGTAATATTATCATTTGTAAGGTTTGTATAATAATCAGTAGAAAAAACATATTGGTGGTATTATGTTCAATTTGTTCCTCGATCATGTTATTAAAGATGAAAATTATTATCGTTATATTTGAATTAATAGGAATTATACAACAATTTTCTTAAGATATATTTTTTCCAAAGCTGATTTGAAATGCTATCAACCTTATATGAACTCGTATTCACAATTGATTTATCGAAAAAAAAACGGTTCAAATTGTTTTTGATTCTTCTGAGAATCCCGTTTCTATGTATTTGTGGTTTTCTATAATTATCCTGATCCATTTAAACATGCAAATTTTCGAGCCTTATTGCTATATTTTAAGAGATTGGATAATGGATGAGGCAAAGTTGTCTGATAATAATTTATTTCTTAGTCTAGTGAAAACAGTTCGACATCTACCTATCGATTTGGAAGTGTCATTAGGGTGTGGTCTGGGTAGAGCGATTAATAATGAGTTGGTAAAATGATCCAGCATACCCGTGTTACAGATACAGCCAGCATACATATAATTTATTAAACAAGTGGAAACCAACGGCCGAACCTACAATCATCAACCCCCGGAAAGGAAAGAAAGCGTGTAAGCTTTGCATCAGATTCCACAAGTAGGTAGTAGAACTGCACCACGACAAGCAACTATACCATGGCACAAACCACGACCAATGAAGAAATAGCTACTACAACCACCAAATACTTTTATGGTTAATGGCTCATTCTACTGAAGTTCAACAAGTGATTCAACATTTACAACAACTACAACAACTACCCAAAAATGTTTCGCTAATGGCAGTAAAATGGTCTATTGGTTTGCTAATATTTTTATTTTATCCTTTTTTTCAAAAAACTAATATGTACAAAAAATTTTTTTTATAATATTAATATTTGCGTAAATAAATTAATTTCCTCATGGTCGACACGCCAACCGACTCGCGTACGATTTTGACTGCTTATATTCTATTTCTAAGCTTAAGCCTAAGCTACTCGTCCAATTTCCAAACTAGATTCGTTACAATGGCATTCTTTATTTTAAAAAATCATGTAACTTGATTTATTTATTTTCCAATATTAATTTATCAAAGCTGATAATTTTTGATATATAATATTTCCCCTTTCTCAGAATATTATTGATTATCAAAAAAAAATTTATAATATATATATGCATGTTTATTTTTTTTTGTAAGATTCAATCTAGTTCCTTTAAAAATTAAATAAATAAATCATTCTAGATTTTTAACCAATGTGATGACATGATAAAATTAAAATTAATGTATGTAATGCATGCATGCAAGAGTGTATATACTATTTTTTTTACAATTAAATTCACAAATTTTCAATCTTCTTCTTCTTCTTCATCATTTACCACAAATCCAGAATCGTCATCATAAGTATCATTGTGTGATAATGACTTTCTTGCTGATATTATATCTGCATCCTCGTCAGATGAACGATCTCTTTTACGTGATTTACTGGTTTTAGGCGCATTAGATGATTTTTGAGCCCTTTGACCTTTTCTTTGTTGTTCTTGATGCTCTTTCATCAGTTTTTCATTCGTTGAAAAGTCAATATATTTGGTTTTCATTTGTTTTTTATGTTCTGCTTGAATAGCAGCCGTCAATCTTTTATGTGTTAAACTGTGCAAATTATTAGGTGTAAAAGAAGAATAACCTGGAACCCTTGATTGAAACTCGAGAACATTTGTTTGCTTATGTGCAATTGCTATATATCTTGGTCTTGCAAATTCATAAGAATTTAATAAATATGCTTCTTTTCCAATATGAAGTGTTTTTGAACCGTCAGACCATTTAACCAATTTTGTATTTGTTTCTTTTTCAATGATCTAAAAAAAGCATTATTATTATAATAATTAACCATTTAATCAAAATCAAATTTCTTAAAAAAGTTTTTTTTAAAGATAAATTACCTCATCTTCATCATCTTCTTTTTTTCTCTTATTATAACGCCATCTAATTGAACTTTCTGCTGCCAATTTGACACCTTTGTAATAATTTGACTCATTTTCTCCATTATATGTCTTGGGATCAAAGTCTGTATATGATTGAGTAAAAAATCTTGGCATTCTTATTAAATCAAGCTTATAAAAACAATAGAAAACTCTAATTAAAATCTAATAATTAACCCAATACAAGATATAAAGTATATTTCTTTACTTTGTTAGTTCTAGTATGAGGCAATGCACCGAATATTTGTATATCTGCTTCTTTAGAATGGGGTTTCTCGGTCTCTCTACAAGAAAAAAAGGTATTTTAAATTAAATAAAATAAAAAAGAAAATATTTAAAAAAATTAATAATTATGACAACAATTACTTTTCTTCAAATTGTAAGTCATCGTCATCTTCACCACTTCCACCTGCTCCAAATAAATCTTCTATCTCAAGGTCATGTTTATCGTCTGGTACATCAATATTTTCATTGTTTTCATCTGAATCAAAAATATTTGCTGCCGCGTTGTTGTTTACATTAACATCGTTCTTTTCGTTGTATTCATTATTTTCATCTGAGTCAAAAGTATTGGTTTCCGTGTTGTTATTTTCATTACCTTTGCTCTTTTCGTTGTATTCGTTGTTTTCGTTGATTTCGTTGTTTTCATCCGAATCAAAAATATTAGCTACAGTGTTGTTGCTTAAATTATTCTCGTTGTTTTCATCCGAATCAAAAATATTAGCTACTGCGTTGTTGTTTTCAATGTTTTCATCTGAATCAGAAAGGCTATCTGGTAAGTTATTGGTTTCATTGTTCTCATCAGAATCAAACATGGAAGATGATGACATTTTGTTTTTTAAAATTTTTTTGTGACGTCGTGTAACATATAATTTATTTCGAAAAAAAAATTTTTTTAAATATGAAGATTAAACATTTCATTAGATTTACTCTCATTTTCATAATTTCCACCATCTTTTTATTGGAGGTTGGTCATGCTAAGGTAACATTGGAATCAAAAGTAGAAAAGCTAAATAAAGAAACACAAATAAATAATGGAATTGTAGAGCTAGATTCGAGACTATATGAGGAATATACAGGGAAACCAAGGAATTATTCCATGATCATACTACTCACAGCAATGGAACCACGTTTAAATTGCAAACCATGCAGGTAATTTATTCATTATAATATTAAAAAAAGCAACGAAATAATTTTTTATTAATTTTTATTTGAAAAAAAAAATCAATAGAGATTTTGAACCGGAATTTCAATTGGTTGCAAGTAGTTGGCTTAAAACAGCCAACGACCCATCACGCTTGTACTTTGGTGTTTTAGATTTTAGAGATGGTAAAGAGGTTTATTCGAAGGTATTATTATTCGTAAATTTGTATTTTTTTACTATATAAATCATTCATTAGTGATCAGATATTTAAAGTATTGATTATATTTCCATTAGTTAAAATTGAATAATGCTCCTTCAATATACTATTTCCCACCAACCACTGGACCATACGGAAAAGAGATTTCAGAGCCTGATAGATATGATTTTAATAAACAGTAATTTAATTTTCTCTTTAAATATAGTTATTCACATTCACATGTTTATATTGAATCTGTATATCTACTTGTCTATATCATGATTGTTTAGTGGATTTTTGGCTGAGGAATTAGCAGGATATTTATCAAATAATTTGGGCACACGAATCAGAATTCAACGTCCATTCGACTACCTTAAACTTTTTATTGCCGTGTTCCTATTGATTGGATCTTTGGCTACTATCAAATTGGCATATCCATATATCAAGAGTTTCATTTGGAATAAAAATACTTGGGCCACAGTTACATTAGTAAGCACATTGCCATTTTTTATTTCATTATAATGATTTACACACTTTTCTTTTCCTTTTAACAAAATGATATTTCCTGACAACAGGTTGTAATATTGTTGATGATTTCTGGACATATGTGGAATCATATTAGAGGGCCACCATACATAATCTCGCAAAATGGACACATCAGTTATATAGCACCAGGTTACTCTAATCAATTAGGAATGGAAAGTCAAATTGTTGCTATTATCTGTAAGTTTTCTTGCAATAATTTCTAATCATTGTTAATTAATATCAGCCAATTTATAATAATTGAGTTTTTCGTAGATGGTGTTTGTGCATTCTCTGTAATTTCTTTGATAACAGCCGTACCTAAAATCAATGATAAAACCAAACAAAGATTTACAGTATATGTAAGAGAGTTTATAATTCTCATTATCTCTTAAAAAATTGTTATTATATAATGCTAATTAAAAATATTATTAATTATCATTACAGCTTTGGATGGGAGTCTTGGTTGCAGTTTATAGCGTGTTATTTTCATTATTCAGATTAAAAAATCCTGGATATCCGTTCAAATTATTTATTTGATTATTTATTTTACCTTTTTATTTAATAATAATAACAAATAAATTGTAACCGCTCGTAACCTGTGAACCTTACCACGCCTCTTATCCATGAATAAAGTTAATCTCAAAACATAATTTGGGGCATGCTGCAACAAAATCAGGCAAAGTGAACTAGAGATTTTGTGTATCAAAATTTTTAACGTCACTGATTTTACAAATTACCTCTGTTTTGAATGCATATTTTACTATACCTCACAACCACATTTTCATTTAAATATATACATGCTTGTATTTTTTGGAACTAGTGGCAAGATTAATAAGAATCAAATTAACTATGAATGAAGGCATTATTAAAAATCAGTGATAATACTTGTCCAAGAAGAATTTTTTTTGGTTGAACTAATGTCCATATTGACTCAATCTAAGTAAGAAAGCAAAGGAGCTGATAATTTTTCAGCTTCGTGGGAAGTATTAGCAATTAAAAGAAATTTTGATATTAAACAATTCAGCACTTTGTTGCCTATATTCTTCTAGGGCATGATTTTGGCTAATTTTTTAAAGCAAATGACTGGAAATTCTCCTTTTTCAATAAGTTTTTTATTTGGAAATCATTATAAATCTCTGGTTTTTTTAAATAATTGAATTCCTTTTACACATAATAATAATATCATATTTATTGAGTTTTATTTGAAAAAAAAAATCAGTATTGCAAATCTGAGTCATCACCACTAAAGCACTAGTACCAATACTATCCATACTAATAAGATAAAATGAATCATTATTATTCATGAAAATGGAGGTGTTGTCGATGTTGGAGCAATTGACTTTATTAGTAGTTAGCCGAAATTGTCTCTCTTAATAAACTTTTCATAGATGTCGAAAAATAACTTTACTAGTTGCCAAAATTGTATCTGAACTTATTTGAACATTTAACTCAATAGCCGAAATCCTAGTTTTTTTATGCTATCGATATCAAGAATGTTGTAAGCTTACTAAAATTGATTTTTTCAAAAACTGTTTCAGCTAACATTCTTAATAATGATGTAGATAAGTCTACATAGATTATTTGATTTGTTTAACAATGAATTAGAATATTAGTACAGGCAGCTTACATATGATAGTATCTCCGTAGAAGATGTTTAGGAATAAATCTCTATACAAGCCGGTTTGAGCCAAGCCAAGCTTTGAGTAGTTGGCTTGATAATTTCAATTCAGTATTCCAAAAGAATTATAAACATTCGAAATACACCAAATAACTTTCGATAGTAGGTAAATAATAGATGCTTCGAACAGTCGTAAATGTTTTCGAATAGACATAAATGTTTCGAATAGACGTAACAGTAAATGCTTCGAATGGTTATAAGTGTTTTGAATAACCAAAAAATATATTTATTGTATTATTTTTTAATTAATGGAAATAACTGCCTCACGAGCCAACTTGGAATAGTTAAATGCTGATTAACTATGTTAATACATTTGATATTATGTATATATAGTTAAACTTAATCAATAAAAATAGTCTTGATCAATCCACTTAACATTTTTTTAATAATAATATCATCAATACAAATTTTTGACCTTAACAACCCAGATGACCCATACTTGATTAATGAAAAACCTATGTTTTAATATAAGATAACCACTCTTTAACTTTAATGAATTTATTATCTTCATTGTATTTATCTATGTCAATTCAAGATTATTTGTGGACACATGAAAAGGATGGGAGACGGGCAGGTGTGGCTTAACCCGTCCCCGGTCCTTTTCATGTTTAGCCCATGAATATTAGAAAAAGACGGGCAATGGTACGGGTGCTCTATAAAAAAGGACGAGAAATTAACAAGGGACGGGTGTGACCAGTGACCCGTCCCCCGTCCTTTCTATTATTCATGGGGAAATCTTGAGAAGGACGGGCGAAAAAGGGATGTGTTTGCTGCGCCATTACTGTCAGTCCCTGATGTTTTCTTAAAAAGGACGGGCATTAATATTTGCAATATTGTATAATAAATATAATGATGCAAAATAAAGAGGACGGGGGACGGGTTCAAGCTAACCTGCCCGTCCTCTGTCCTTTTCATGTATTCGATTATATTATATATTTTAATTAGCTTATTTATTATCTATTATGATTTGTATTCTTCATTATTTTAATTTTACATAAATTTTAGCCTCAATTGTATAATAAAAAAAAAAAATCAAGCCTTTAGATAAGGAATAAATAGAGACGGGAAATTATAATAGTCCAATTTTGCAGCCTGTTTACTAAAAATTATATTATGACAAACACCATTCACCTGTCCTTTTCATGGTTTGCCCGCGAATAATAAAAAGGAGCAGTGGGACGGGTGGTAATGGCACAGCAACCCGTCCTTTTCAAGATTTGCCCATGAATAATAGAAAAGGGCAGCAAATGGGTTTCTACGCCTTCACCACGCCACACCTGTTCCATGTTAGTTACCCGTCCTTTTTTACATCATTTTGCAGAATACCCGTACCATCACCCGTCCTTTTCTGGTATTAATGGGTCAAACTTGAAAAGGAAGGGGGACGGGCAGGTGTAGCTTGAACCCGTCCCCGTCCTTTTCCAGCATCCCGTTACATAACATATCATTGTTCAACTCGATAATTTTCTACAAATAAAAATTGAATAATATTTAATATACACCATAATCCAAAATTTTTAGTATAAAAATCTATTACCTTTACCATGAATACAAGCTCTATAATTTTTATTATATTGATAATGTTGACATATTCAAATGGATATTCGATTTCCATTATTTTATCTGCAACAAAAAGTTTCTGGGGTCCCAGATTTATTTCTGTACAGTTTCTCTTTTGTCTCTGTATATAAAAAAAAAATTTTTTTTAGAGTGGATTCTTGATTAATAATCAAACATTTCATCAGCATAGTATAATGAAATGGAAAAATCACAACTAAAACTCACTGTACACTATGTATGCTAAAGCAGAATTTTGAAGTATATTTAATATCATCATTTCCATTATAAAAAGTGACGATAACCATCATTCTTATGATGAACGTTTGCTCATTTCTTGCTAAATCTTGTTGCTTTCGTCTTCTAATATTGCTCTGATTATTATTTGGCATTTTTATATTAATATTAATATATACACGTAAAAAAAAATAATAAAAATAAATTAAAATTACATATGTAAACTCGATCGAATTTCGAAATTAAATTTTTTAAAATATTTATTACATGTTATCTCAAACATTAGAAGGTTGCAAGATCAACTTTTTTATACATATTTCTGAACATAATAAAATTAATAAGAATACAAATGTATTTCTTCACACTGTATACATCAAATTATACAATCGATGATATAAAAATGAGATAAAAAAATATAGATGTATTGTTCGCGATTAGTCTCTAAATTATTGGATATATAATCAATGATATAACAATAAAATATTTATTAATGATAAATGAATGATACAATCAATGATCCAACCGAGATAATAAAATATTAATGCATTATTCATGAATATCATGAATACTGTGAATATTGAGCACGTGCATGAATTCTGGATATGATCCAGTTCTGATTTTGAATTTCAAATTCAAAAAATTGAAATTGAAATTGAAAATTCTAAATTAAAAAAAAATTCTTTTAAATTATGTCAAGCAATTTTGATTCTCAAAGTCTTTATTTGTCAAATTCTAAGAATGCTGGAAGGCTTCCCAACATTTTTTGGGCACATTTTAATAAAGGTACAGAAAGATATCCTGGCCAGTGTTAGCAATTGAACTTATTGGACCAGTCCAATAAATCAATTGGACTCTGGACCAATTCTAAGGGTAGCAAATCATATTTCTGCATTTATATAATGAGAAGGATATGATTGAATATTTTTTATGTTGGACTTTAAATAAAGTTATTATTTTTATCTTATTCTTTTTTAATAAATAATAAATAAATAGACTAAAATTCATACCCAGAAGTCTTTTTTTATTTGGAGTAGAAAAATTTTGTACATTATTTATTTCTTTAGATGATGTATTAATAGAATCTCCACCATCATTATAAAATTCATTTTCAATTAAAAAAATTTCAATTCAACAAATGATTATGACAAGTTTTTTTAGTTAAAGTTATTTTCAATTCATTGATATTTATATTAGGTTGAGAGATCTTACAAGCAATGCAGATTCCCAGTGATTATAACCGTTTAGTTCATCAGGTAAAACATGAAAGTATTGATTACTTCCTTGAGGCATTGAACGATATTTTTTTATTTTTATATGACAAAATCCAAATAAAGTCTAGTCGAATCCAATAAGTCCAGACCAATTGGACTGGTCCAATGTACAACTAAACCACTTTCTTTAGTGTGCAATCGGACTGGACTGGACCAAACGGTCCAAAGTCCAATGAAATGATTGGACTGGTGATTTTGACAACACTGATCCTGGCAAATATGATTCCATCTGTAACTAAAGGAAATCCACAGTTGATGCAATAACATTTAGTGAATAGATGTTCAAATCCACCTATTACAATTTTATTTTAAATATCAAAATGATAATTTTTTGGATGAAACAGGTTCTTTGATGACTTCTAATTCTTGGAACAAGGAGTTTGTCTAATAATAATCAAAAGGGATTGAATGATGAATTTGAATTTTGAATTACTATTAGAATTTCAAATTAGATTCAATTTTAATTTGGATTTCATTAGTTCTAGAGGCCTTTTGATTTCAAAAACCCAAATAATTTTTTCAAAAGTTTGAATTTTATTAAATGATTTTTGCCACCTTGTATGTTTCTGACTTCTTTGAATCTGGTAATTAAAGATTTCAGGTTCTAGGATTATTGTTATTTAAAGACATGAATAAAGCCCCAAACAGTTCAGTTTGGTTTTTGGTTTACATTTACCCAAAAATTTCAGATATTCTAAATTCATTAATTATGCAAAAACAACATATAATAACCACCAGTGTAGAAAATTGAGTGCGGGATTGTGTTACATTAAAGATAGCCAATAATCTATTGACAAGATTAAGCAAATATATGATAATTATGATGATAATAAATTGTACTAAATTACAATGATTCAAAGACTTAAATCCATTATTATTATTTATATCTCATTTTACTCTCCATTATTGAATGTGGCTTATTTCACCTAAAGATTTTACAATTAAGCATAATTTGCAAAAAAAAAAAAGCATAATCCTGGACACCTGACATGGAATACTAATATGGGATGAGTTATTAATATGAAATTGGGATTTTTACTGATCCCATGCCAAGTCAAAACACCTTAATGAGAGCAAACGGAGCCTGACAATTCAGATTGTTTACAAAACCAATTGATTAATATTGAAGTTTGCTGCCATAAAAATTTCTTGTCTTATTTCTTTTTTTTTACATTCAAGTATAAAGTGATTTTATCAATTTCTTTTTCTTTAACTAAATATTTTTCATTTTCAATAATTTTTTTGATTTTTTGATTTAAAGAATTTGCTATATTTTTGATTAATTTGCCTTCTGAACCTATCAAAATTTTCTATTAAATAAATTGATAAGTTGAATGAATAAATTGATGATAATTAGAAGCATTATTCAATAAATAAATAGCCTTTTACCTGTTGAATTTGATTTTTCACATAAATATTTTGGTCAATTCTTAATATATTGTTGTTTATTTTCCATCCAACATTTTCCTATTAAATAAATAAACTAATCAATATATATATATATTAATAAACAACCAACCAACCAATCAATATGATTTACTTGTGTAACAGTGTAAGGAAAATATCCATAATAGTGAGTTAATATTTCCTCCCTAATAAATTCTTCAATTCTTTTCAATAAACTTGAATCAACTTTTTGATCAGATTGATATAGCCAATCATTTGGATAAGTTTTATTTAATAATAATCTCTTATATAAAATAATATTAATTACATAATGTCAATATTATTATTTTAAAATATAAAAACAAGAAATATTGATTACTTACTTTTAACATATTTAACTTAATATTATGTAAAGCAGATATTGAAATAGTTGGGCAGTTTTGTAGAAATGGGTATTTAGTTAAGAGTTCTAAATTCTTATTTCTGAATTTTCTTTCATTTTTAATTAAATCAATCTATAAGAAAAGTATTTAAATATACAAGTAAATATATAAATATAACATTCCTAAATATTATTTTACCTTGTTAAATATTAAAATAATTGGTTTTTTCATAGTTTTTAATTTTTCAATAATAAATTGTTCACCATAATAACTGTATTCAGTTATTTTTAATGCATCAATCACTAATATCACTATAAAATTATAATATAAAAGCAATATAATATAATATAATATAATCATATATCATCATACTATATATAATTACCATAATCAGCCTCATTTATTGTATTCCATGAAGAATTAATCAATTCACGATTATATCTTTGTTTATATTTGGTTAATGTTGATGTTGATGTTGATGTTGATGTTGATGTTGATCTTGTTGTCAATATTACACCCGGAGTATCTAAAAAAATCTAAATATAATTTATATAATTTATAAATTTTAATTCATCATATATTAATTCATGATATATTAATAAATTAATTACAATTTGCTTGTTATCAACTGTTAATATTGTGGAAACTCTTTCTCTTGTTGTATGTGGTTTGTCTGATACAATTGTCACCTAATAAATACATTTTTTTTTATTATTAATTATCAATCATCAATTATCACCATTGGATAATATTTACATTATCACCAATTAAAGAATTTATCAAAGTAGATTTTCCTGAATTGGCTGTTCCTATTATTGTAACTTTAAGTATATGAGGGTTTATTGGTTGTTTGATTTTTTGTTGAATTGTTGGCAATTTATCTTTAATATCTAATTATTTATTGTTGTTATTATCATCCTTATTATAAATAAATGCTATCTTATTCAATTAATTAATGAATTATATATACCAGCAAAATTATTATTAATAGATATAATTTTATTTTTATTGATTTTTTGTTTGTCTTCACTTTTTCTTCCCAATTTTTCATAATTTGAATAAAAATTTTTTTTTTCTATTAATTTATCAAATTTACTGTTTCCCTTTATTGAATTTGGCAATCTCATTATTGATCTTATAGGTATTCTTGCCATTCCTTTTGCATTTGACATAATTGAGTAAAAAATAATTTTCTTATTTCTGATTAAAAAAATCGTTTTTTTAATATTAATGATCATCTAGTCAGATAAAAAATGACAAAACTAAATATATACAGTATTGTTTAACAAGTTTACCCCTGAAATTTATTGAGCAAAAAAAAAAAGATGGAGCAAAAAAACAATTCAATGCCTGAAATGAATGACATTCAAACTTTCGTCAATGATTCTATAATGTACAATTTATTTGATACAAATAACAATCTAGACAATACTATTACCCAGGAGTCACATGATTTTCATAACTTGGAAACCGGTATACCTGACATGGATCATAACTATTTATCACAACTTTTACATGCTGTAATGGAATCAGAATCCAAGAAGAGTGCAGTCGATTTTGTTTCAATGTCAGAGGTTGAAAGAATCCCGGTCTCTGAAATAAATGCTTTCAACAACTTTAGACCCTCTTCAGAATCCAATTTTCAGCTTGATAATACTAATGACAAGGAAGAAGACAAAAGTGTAAGTAGCAATATTGATGTAATTGATTATATTATTTAAAAAACTTTTTATTGAAAAAATAAATATATAATATATAAATATTTATGTATTTAGTCTATGAATGAAAGCAATCAAGATTTAAGTTATGGCGATGATGATGATAATTATGATAATCCCAGAAATATATCACCAAGTGTAAAGTATACATCAGCAAGAACCACTATAACAGCTACAAAATCAGGTTTAAATGAGAATGGCATTAATAAATCAAGAAGACTCTGGGATGATGAAGAAGTTTCTATTTTTCTTAATCATTTTAAGGAGGATTATGCATTATACCAAAAGAACAGTAAAGAATTTTATGAAAAGATGGCCAGTAAATATTTTACATCAAGATCAAAAGGTGCAATTCAAAGTAAACTTAATCAATTGTTGGACAAATATGAGGAAGTTAAAAGCAATTCGGCTAAATATAACTGGAAATGGTACAGAATTATTGATGATATCATTAAAGAAGATTCCAATGATGCTAATGATCATGATAGTGATAGATCATCTGAAATCAATTATTATAATGAAAGACTTAAATCCAAAAGACTTGTGAAAAGCAAAAATAATAAACCAACAGATGTTAATTCAGATTATGATGTTAGTGAAGTAGAATCACATGAAGTAATAATTGGTAACCATAAGATAAATAATAATAATTTTATAAAAGCTGGTTATTTTATGGAAGATGATTATGTAAAATTTAAAAGGTTTAATAATAATCGCAATAATGCAAATAATATTATTAATCATCTTGTCAATGATCAAGAAAACAACGCAATTGATAATGTTGCAGTTGAAAATAGAAATTGTATCAGTAAAAAAAGAAGAATTGGAATTTCTTCTGCATGTATAATTGCAGATGCTATCAAAGAATCAGTAATGTACAGAGAAAGAATGTGGGAAGAAAGTTTGAAATTTGAAAATGAAAACTTAAATAAAGAATATGAAATACAAAAAAACAGAATTGAATTGGAAACATGCCAATTGCAATTTGAAAGACAACAATTAAGACTTGAACATGATAACAAACTTAAAGAATTAGAAGTAAAACTATCTCAATTAAGCCAAAAAAAATAATTATTGATTGAAATATTTTCCAAGCATTTAAGAAAAAATCTGACGTTTTTATTTGTTCTCTCTTTCTACTAATCTTCTCTTCTCTATTAATCTTGACAATATTTTCTCCCAATTAATAAAAATCAAATCTTTTCCAATCATAATTAATCCTTATTAGTATTTATTAATCTTATTTATGCATACAATTATTATTTTTTCAGTGTAGATATAGATATAGATATCTTTTGTTTTTATTGAATTAATCTAGGTTTTTTTAATATTATTAATAGTATTATATTAGATAGATCTTCACCGGTTTTCCTGAATCTCAATGATAGTAGTTTTAAAAATTGAAGATCTTCTAAATAAAGGACAATTCCATAAAATTTTTAATTAAAATGTTGATCAATTTTTTGTTTTAAGCTTTAAATCATCAGAGGAAAAACTTTTTACATTTGTTAAACAATTTAAAGTATTAGTTATTAGTCTATTAACTAATTATTTAGTCCACTTCCTAATTTATTTAAAGTACAAGAACTATTTAATGGTTCATTTAAAATTTAAAAATAATTTTCAAATGGTATTTGTTAAAACAAGTCACTAATATAGTGTTCCTAACCGAAAATCAAATTTTTTACAAATATTCAAAAAATCAATTTATTCAAGGATATTTGAATATATTAATATATATAGTCTATTTTCATAATTATTTTGGATACTCGTAATAATTGTAATTATTACGGATACTTGTAATTATTACGGATACTTGTAATTATTATGAATACTTGTGATTATGGATACTTGTAATTATTTTGGATACTTGTATTTATTTTAAATAATCATTTCAAACATTTGTTACGATATCACAAATGATTATCGATTGATAACAAACAGTACTAACTTATTTGTAACTTAACCTACTATATAAATAAACATTTTCAAAGATTATATTTTTACAACAATTAAAATATTTGTCCGAAAACATTTTCTTTGTATGATGATATAATTTATTAAATAAATTTTTTGATATAGCTTGAAATGAACAATCAAATTGATATAAGAGATATGATGTCCAAAAAGGAACTTTATCATTAAAGAACAAGAAAAAATAATAGTTCGTTAAATTTATACAAATATCTGAAATAATGAATAAATATTTGAAATTCGTAATTTTGGATTTACGAATTTCTGATCGGGTCAAACAACAGAAATAAATCAGTCACAAGGAAACCTTTGAGCTTTGCAAAAAAAAATTTATTTACTTAAAGTTATTCAGTACCATTAAATGTGCTTATAGATCCATCGAAACTTTTTAGGCACTAGAAAGAGGCAGTAAACGAGAACTAAGGTAAATTCGTAAATTTAATTGACAAGCATTGAATTATTGTGAGTTCCTTGCAATTAACTGACAAGAGTGAGTAGCCCAAAGGTTAAACTGTAATCAAAAGGCATCACTACTTAACAAAATCAGAAAACTGTAAAAGGTTTATTAAGAAATGAAATAAAAAAACGAATAATTATAACGAATAAGTAAACTTGGTGGAAGTTAAATTAGTCACTCGTTGATCCTCTCTTTTAATCACTAGAATCTAATGTTTATTAATCAATCAATGTAAGTAAAATATATTGTTAGTAATAATTAACAGATGGTAATTTTAAAATTAATAACATTTTAGAGATTAATGAACTATCATTATTTGTATAACTTTTTAAAGCTTTAGTAATCTCTTCTACTTTTATGATATGTACCTGGATGTGATTTGTGTACTTGTTTCAAAACACTGCTACTATTACTACTATTACCATTACTACCATTTCTACTATTATTATCATCAATACTATTGTGAATTACTACTATTATTACCATCAATACTATTGAGAGTTTATTGTTATATAGCAAAATCAAAAGCACTCTAATAGTTGGTCTTTTTGATGGATCCACATCCCAACACCTATGCATCATTCTCAAATTTAAAAATCTATGAAAAAAAATTTGGAGACATTTTTTTTTTACATAAATTGACACCCTCTTTAAAGCTAATGTGGTTTGTTTAAAATCCAATATAATATTTCAAATTTTTTAACTTTTGAGTATAGATGATCCACACTGTATATCAAGCACTGACTGTATTTGTTATTAATAAGTTGAAGAGTGACCTATAGAGCTGGGATAACCCATGCCAAATTATCAATAATTTCAAGATTTGGGACAATTGATGTCTAATTCCTGATTCGTTTCTGATTGATCAAAAAACCAGGATTTCAGCTTGTAATTAATAAAATTCATTGCATAGTTGTTCCACAATTTTTGATTTTGTAACATGCTGTGTATACAATATATACACTATTCTATTTTATTAATAGATAAAATGCTAATTTGTGATCCTTCAGGGAATAACAGCCAGGGAAGTATTGAAACCAGTGTTTAAAATTGGCTTGCACAAGTTGCATAGGTGCGGGTAT